AGATGAGACAGTGTGGCACAGATGGTAAAGAGTCTGCTCATGTCGTACGTGAGCTAGAGCGTGACATGATCAGTGCTCCTTCACTTCCTAATTCAGGGTGACTTGAGAGGCACTCGGGGTCTTGCCCACCGACAGCATTTTAATGAGAAGTCACTGCCCAGAGACTACATATACTAGCTTCCCTTTCCACTGAGACTGACCATGTGACTAAATTCTGCCCAGTGAATTGTAGCAGAAATGGTATGTCCCAGTCCCAGGCCTCTCCTGCCCACCCCTTGCCTTATTCCAGGCAGCAATGGCGATGAGAAGAAAGAGGGATGTGGGGAGAGTACATAAAAATACAGAGAATATTTATGTAAAAAAACCAGTACTACAGGAAAACCACATTGCCATTAACCGCTCTCCAAATACTCCCACTTACTCTGAACACACCCCACTGTTATTGCCACTTTTTGAAGCGGTTTCCAATTTACGTTTATGGAAATTTGCGACACATAAAAACACTGTGGCGTGTCCTTAGCCGCTTCATTCACTGGATCTGGCCCTGTGTGACATCTGGTTCTTTCCCAAAGTCAAGATGACCACGAAATGTAGATATTTTTAATCAATTCAGGACAGTAAGGCAGCTGTGTCAGTGCAACTAAGGAAACTCACAAAAGACGTCTTCCAGAAGTATTTCAGGAAGTGGCAAGAATCATGGGATAAGTGTGCAGAAACCAAGAAGGAATATTTGTAGGGGGATTAATGGCAGTGTGTCTTTTATGGTAATATATTTTTAGAGAGCTAAGCATTCACTATAGTTTTTGATCATATCACATCCTAAAGGAAGAGGAGGCACTGCCATCCCAGGTTCCCGAGTGACCACGTGGAACGAAGGTATTACTGGCCTTCTACTCACCACCCACACACTCTGGACTGCTAAGAAACAAAACAGCGTTTGCTCAGCATGTGCAAGATGCTGAACTCAGTTTCCAGCACTGCAAAAAACAACAAAAGACAGAAACTTCTTGTCCTTTAAGTCAGTGGTTTTTCACAATGTGTCCCCTGGCCGGTTTCCACATCATCAATGAAATTAAATGTTTTGGGCTCCACTCAAGACTCACCTAGTCAGAAACATCAGGGCAGGGTACATTATCCGTGTTTACCCAGGTCTCCCACATGATTCTGATACACATTTAACTCTGAGAACCACTGGATTTGGGAGTCTACTTGTTTTAGCAGTTAACCTGCCTCTACTCCATGACTATTAATATTTATTCTGAGATACATGTTTCCTTCAATATAGAACAGTTATGGGTAAAGACTGGCTTTGCTACTGTTGTCTTCCTCTGAGAATCACAGAATGATTAAATATTAAAACACTCATAGAGAAGTCTTCGGCCTCTGGATTTTTTTTTTTTTTTTAATGAAGAATGCTTTATAGTTGGTGAGGTCTTCACACTGTGATCAATTTAGATCTCTGATGCCTGCATTTACTATGAGCCTATTTTGCCTCAGTGCAAAAAACTTTGAAATTGAGGGGACATCATATACACATCCCAGCTGGTTAAAAATTGATTTAAATTATTTACGTATAACCCCATGTGTCATCTATTTTGTTTTCTTTCTCTATCCCTACCAGGTCATCACCCCCAGACCTTTTCCTTAAAATTTTCTCAAGCAGCATAAATTACTAATACTTCCAAATTATTTCCTCATGAATCACAAAAGCAATAGAACTAAATCTAGCAAAGGTCATTTCCTTTCAAATCGTATATATTATTTTCTGTATAGAACTAAGATTTAAAAGCATGAACTGAAAGAGTCATGAACACTATGCATGCTCGAATGGGTTGTTTTTTGCTTTCTTACTTTTTTCCTTTAACATCTTAGAGGGCGATGTTGGCAAACAGGCTCAATTTCAATCTCAAATCTGTAAAAAGAAGAAAGAGGATAGAAAAAGTCAGTATGCTTTTACACTAGACAATTTTGAATTTTCTGAAACTTCTTGGATGTATAGTTAAAAATATAGTTTCCAAAAATATTTGGATAACTCCATGTATATCAGAGTCACATTTGGATATTAATGAAGAAATATGCAAGATCCACAGAAAATAGCTAGTCCTGTAAGGACACAGTGGATGCAAGGCCCCAAATGCTTGGTGGTGGTACAACAAGAAAAAGTGGACTGAGTGAACCTTTGGTCTGATCCAAAGTAGTATTTCTTATCTCCTCCATAACTGCCATATTTTAAGGAAGTCTCTCTCTGTCTCTCTCTTAGGGAATGGGCTTGCTTACATTTCAATTCTAGGACAGAAAACACTATTATTCAACTTTTTTAAATGGCCATTTCAGGTAATAGAAAAGAAATGCTCAATTACATTTCCTTAGACTCACAGTGGGACAATCAGAAGATTGGGTCATGACACAGATGAATGTTTGGCCCTTCCTAAACTCTGCTGCTGGGGAACTGATGAGTTTACGTAAGAGGAAGGGATTGAGCACAGAACATAAACACTGAGGAGTCAAGACCTCATGAGAGCTGGAAAGAGGAGCCCCTCAGCTTGACCCTGACTGCTGATTCTTTTTAAAATGGTGAGTTTAAAGAAATACATTCCCAAAGCATAATCCTGCCACATGTAAGCACCCATGAAACACAGATAAGCATCCTCCAAGTTTCTCAGTTTAGTAACTGTGACCTTGGACACAGTCCACAGAGAGCACCGATAAAGAGGCCTGGACCACCACTACCTCACAAGCCATATGAATTAGGCCAAATTTTATCTTAAGGCCAATGTAAAAGGATGATCTTTCCATTGCATAGTTTTGTCTCAACAGAGGACGTTTAAGAAGACTACTTGGATAGAATGTAAGCACAGACAAAAGGGTTAATTGTCAGATGACATCTTTAGCAATGAGGTAGTCTAGGGGAATGGCAGACCCACAGGCACTGAGTCAGACAGACAGGGGCTCCTGCCTACCAATTCTGAGATCCTAATCAGGTCCCTCACCTTTTTCCCAGTCCCATTTTTTAAAATCTGGAAAATGAGGGCATGAATTTGACTTTCTCATTTTTCCACAGTTGTAAGAATTGTGGAAGACATTGTTTGTGAATGTAATTTGAAAATAATATTGAGAAACAGCATTAGTCACCATAGGCAAAGGGCAAGATGAATGAATAAACAAAATGGAATGTTGGCATATTATTCACTTAGGAAGTCTAGTCTGATATGTGACAGCGTACAATGTTAAATAAGCCACTCATGAAAGGACAAACCCTGTACAATTCCACTTATAGGACATACCTAGTATAGTCAAATTCAGAGACAGAAAGTAGAATGGTGTTGCCAGGGGGCTGAAGGAAGACGGGAATTAGTTTTAATCTGGGAAGGTGAAAATTTTCTGGAGATGGATGGTGGCAATGGTTGCACAGTAATGTAAATGTACTTATGTCCCTGAACTGCATATTAAAGATGGTTGTGACAGTAGTTTTATAACACCCCCACACACATTTAAGAATTTCTATGCTAATTCTCTTTTGTTAGATAATAGCATATTAATTGGGGGCTTTATTGCACATAGGGTCACCTGTGAATGCTTGGCATAGTCATCCTGTATTGTGTGCACAGTGATACTTAACAGGTGTGAACACTGTGTGTGCCACTTAGCTAAGTAATGAATCGAAGCTCTCAGGGCCCAGAAAAAGAGAATGAACATCTACTAAATACATATAATTATGATGTGATAAATACTGCACACATGTCAACACTTTACTCTTCACAACAACAGCACAATGCAGACATCAGCACCATTTATACACGAAGAAACTATGGTTCAGAGAAACCAAGTAATTTGACAAAGGCCACACAGAGTTAGGAAGTGACACAGGCAGGCTATGGAACTAGCTCTTTCTGATCACAGAACCTAGGATTTCTTTCAGTGTTTTCCCAAGTATAGACCAAAGAGACAAGTGTTTGAGGCAAAGAATGGATTTGTAATTATGCAGGCTTTTGGTCCCACTTGAAACCTGTTGAACCAGAGTCTTCTTGGGGAGATGGTGATGGAAGGCCTCCTAAAATCTGCATTGAAAATCAACTCTCTGGGCAAATTCAATACAAGCTTGGTCTCACCACCAAGACGATTCCTCTAAGCAGAGGTTATTTTGCTCAAGATGACATTAAATTTTAAAACAGAATAATTGCCACCACAAAATACAAAATAGAAAATTACTTTGTTTTCCCTCTCTTTTTTCTGAGTACTACATTTATAGAATCGGCACCAGCTTAATTCTTTCAATATTACTGAGGCTTTATCTGTTTCTCAAAAGCAAACAGACAGTTGGAGATCCCAATAATTTTTCAGAAATTCCTTAGCCAATAACTCTTACAGTGTTATAAGTAGAAGTTTGTATATTAATGTCAATAGGAAAATGCATGTTAAATATTATAACTAAATTTTTACTATTCACAGTTTTGCATTCAAGTTTTATCTGTAGAAATTTCTTTCTCTTCTTTTCCCTTTTGAGATAGGGTTTGGGGCTTGAACAGCACTATGTAGCCCGCACTGGCCTTGAAGGCAATCCTCTTGCCTCACCCTTCCAAGTGCTGGGATTCCAGGTGGGCGTGATAATACCTGGCTATTCCTTTTAAAAAGTTTATTAAATGTAGTTATACCCTGTATAGCTATCTGGTCCATCTCTTTGGTCTGTCTTTCCTCTCACAGATATATACATAACATAGATATACTACTTGCATCACTTGAGCAGGCCAAGGGCACTGGAAAAACACTTAATTCTGCTTAATACTGGCTTTAGTAGTTGGGTAAACAACACTGGAAACCACTCTTAATAATTTTCATTAAGAGAAATCCAAGTGACTCCATCTTTTTCTCTTTTAATAACTCGTGCCTCTCAGCGGGCTATGTTTTCCCACCTGTGAGAACAGCTGCCATTTATTTATTGGAAAGGTCTAGAAGGCTTGGTGACAAACATCACGGGAAGAATTCCTCCCACTCCAAGTGGCACAGGCACTGCATCTAAAAGTGGTTATGCATCCTGTGCCGGAGAACTGAGGGCAGCAGACAATAGCGTAAGCTTCCTGAACACTGTGCAGAACAGCCACTTCCAGTCATTCCTTCTGCTCACAGCTGGCTGGCAAGGACCAGTTCATTTTTGTGTGTCCACTGCTTGGTAGAGAGCCGGTGCATAAGCTGGTCATGTCTGTGTGCATGACAAAAAGCCCTTGTAGCCACCAGTAGAAGTGGCGAGGGTGAGAGGGGTACAGTACAAAGTCAGTTCACATAGCTGCAGGAGTCATGTAGGCTCGCCTTCTGAGGAGCGGCCATACAGACTGTTCAGCCATCTGGTCTACCAAGTAAGAACTCTGATCCTATAGTAAAGACTCCAAAGCTCAGAGAACTTCCCAGGGTTGAAAACTTCCTGGCAGCATATGAAAAAATGCTATGCTTATGTATGTTGTCAATATAGAGCATTTACAAGTTCTTTTTCCAGGTGGTGCTGCGGATCAAATCTAGGGCTTCTAGCAGTTAGCTACATCTTCAGCCCAGAATTTACATATTCAGGATTTTCTAAAGGATATGTGATCTGAAGAAATGGCAATTAAGGGCCAGGGATTTAGCTCCGTGGTTTTACAGCCTGCCTTACAAGCCCGAGGTCCTGAGTTCAATCCCCATACCAAAAACAAAGTAAATAACACCATACAATTCAAACAAAATATGTTTACAGGTTGCTTTCAATTTGTTGGACCATTATTTCCCACATTTATTTTAAAGTAGTTATCTCTAAACTTTATTGTTACACTTTTATTTTCTAAGGGTCATTTCTCCTCTCTATGCATGTATTAATTTTGTACTTACACACTGAAATACTGTATATATATATATATATATATACAGTATTTCAGTGTGTAAGTACAAAATTAATACATGCATAGAGAGGAGAAATGACCCTTAGAAAATAAAAGTGTAACAATAAAGTTTAGAGATAACTACTTTAAAATAAATGTGGGAAATAATGGTCCAACAAATTGAAAGCAACCTGTAAACATATTTTGTTTGAATTGTATGGTGTTTTTTAAAAAATGAAAAAAAAATTTAACAAAATAGTAACTTACACACACAAAAAAATCTGCATTTATAGTTTTTGCCTGAAAAAAAGGTAAGACAACTGACAAAAAATGAGCCTACTTGCATGGAAACGGTTGGCTATAGCTAGCAATAAGTGTGCCCGAACCACTGAGCTAAATCCCCGGCCCTGCTTTATTTTTAATAGCAGAATAATACTCTGCTTTTACAAGAGCATTTGTCATTCCACTCCCATCCCTCAATGTCAGCATCTATAGCAAAGTTTCTTCTTTCAGAAAGCTGAGCATTTAAGCCAAAGAGACTCAGAGAGGAAGGAAGGAAATGCTAACATGGATGTGGCTTATTGACATCCACCAGATGGCATCGCAAAATATTATACCTATTGTTGGCTTTTTTTTTCTTTGCCTGCTCTAAATACACACGCAAAGGTGTTTTTCTTGACAAGGGTCTTCACTAGTAAATATGAAAGTTTCAAACTTGAGATGGTAGTCAGAATAGTTCACTTTAGGCCGTAAACCAACAACCTTATAACACAGAGTCTCTTTTCCGGTTCAACGATTCCTTAAACCAATGATAGAGATTTCAGAACTGAATTTAAAGGTTGTAAACAAACGT